AAACACATGACCCATTTGACTTCAGGGACTTAAGTGTGTTTGTAGCATCAGTCCCATCTACACATTGATAATTCATAAAAGAACATATTTTTTCTTTATAAACTGTTCTTAAAATCTTTGCATTTTAAACTTGAAATGTCTAGGTGATCAAAACAAGCAGTAAGTTCTTAAATAAAAGTATGGATGGAGTTTTAGGATGACTAAGGATATCCCAATATGACTTGCACATTGCCAATAAGCTTCATGATTCCAGTTACTCTTCCATTACCTGGAAAGCCCTTATGATCACAGCCTACTCTTGGTAAACAAGATTTGGGGACATTATGTTATTCAGGCGTAAAGATCATAAGTGGAAAGACGTATAAAAATATGATATATCGCTTTGCAAATTTTTGAAGACTTCTTTCACAACTATCACCCATTCATTTCTTTATTCATTCTAGACACCCTAAAGTACCTTCATTTTTTTTTCTCACCTTTCCTTTTGGCATTTGTGTGCATGTGTGTTTCTTTTCCATTGAAGCACTGTTTCTTTAACATATAAATTATCTCTAAGACTGATTTTCAAGTTTTATCAATTCAAATGCTGTGTATAACTAGGAGAAAAAATGCTAGTCAACTTAAATTTCTAAACACATCTTCAATATAAATACAAATAAGAGAAATACTACTCTATGAGACCTTTTCCTTTAAAATCTAGAGAGATAAACTATGATTAAAGAGTAAATTTTTAATGTCTATCATTATACTTAAATTTGATATATATAAAAAACAAAACAAGTTCAAGATTTCTCTGTATAGCATGGCATTCAATTCCTTAGGTTCCTATGGATTTTATAGAATTTACTGCATGTGTGTTTTAAAATTCAAGAAAAATACTGAATTCAGTTTGTAGAATTGACAATTGGATTCTCAGGAAACAGCAACAACATTTAACAGCCATGTGACTGACTAAAGCATTATTTGTTCAAGACAATGATTATTTTGAGATTCAATTAACTAGTTTTTAAAATTCTATCCAGTATTCAAGCTGCAAAGACTTCAAGTCCTCTATAAATCTATAGCATGCAAGGATAAATTGATTTAGCATCATAGCTCTAGGAATCAAAGACCTCAGAAGTAGGCTGATAATAATTATCTTCCATTTATTCCAACACAATTTCTTCAATCCACAAATTCTTATCCTGTGACAGCTTACAACTTTTGGATAAAACTGTAGAAAACACAATTTAGTGATAGATGGTAAAATTTCAGAACTGAACGTTGTGAAGCTGTGGCATTCAATTATGTAGGAAGTTTGTTTTTTCTACAATGTTGAGTGGTTCCTTCTAAACCACAGAAAGGCATGCACATTAATAAAGTCAAGTTATTTCTCCTACATGTAACAAAAAAGCACAGTAAATGAACAAAAAGGCCTTCTTGCCTGAGCTCTCTTTGTTCTGTCTCCACACAGCGCCATAGTGCAGTACCTTCTTCTACCTAGACTTCTCCCCTCTAATCCCAGCCCTTTCTTAGACCTCTTTTAAAGGAACTGTGTGAACCTTACAGTTAGGTTGCATTTTCCTTACTAAATACTCCTAAAGTACTTTTCCTTCTCAGCACTAATCACATTTGAGTAATTTAGTGTTTACTGTCTGTAGGTGCACGGTAATGTAACCTTGATCAGGAAGAGCTTTGTGTCTGACACGTATACTTTATTCTCCCCAAGATTTAGCAAAATGTATAGCATGCGAAAACAGTCAAGGTGGAAAGTAGCTGTTAGGATACCAGGCCTACCTAATGATTGTAGAAGGAAGATATTTAAAGATTTAACTATAACACCAGAGGCCATAATATATCCCAGTATCCAGAATATATCCCAACATCCCATGTATATGGTCATAGATGTGTAGATCATTTGGTTAATGCTTCATTCTTAATTGAATGGTCACAATACATTACAGGACAAACAATGTATGCTATTTTTTTTTTTAAAAATGGTTGCTACATTTAATTCACAGTTCTGGTTTCACATTTACACTTGGCCAAGTTGTATTTTCTGCATGCTCTTTCAGTTTAAAGATTTTTTTTCACAAAGTAAGTACTTATTGGACATTTACTATGTGTCATCAGATTAGCTTATTTTAATGGGCATTCTGTGTATGCACTGGTTAAGAAAAAAGGGGTTATTATTTATAATCTCCAAAGACACTTTCTCTTATAATTATTACACTAAATGATTACTCAAGGATCAAGTTATGTGACCGTGTATATAGAATAAACATCAGCAGTCTTTGTTCTCAGGCTTATCCGAGCAGTCCCCTCCCGACCACACTCTAGTTCTCAAACCTTTGAATATGAACTGGAAGTCATACTATCAGCTTCCTTATAACTGTTTGAATTTATGTAGGTTTGGAGGTAATACTTCTTTGACTCTTGATTTTAATAATGATGCTCTTTTTCTCTTTCTTTTTATTCATCTATTTAAAGATGTTTCAATTTGTTGATCTTTCCAAAAAAGCAGCATTGGTTTAGCTGTTTTTTTCCCTATCATTTTCCCTGTTATACTTTCTTAATTTCTACTTGAATAGTATTTCCTGGCTTAGCTTTCTTTTGGATTTAGTTGCTCATCATTTTGTAGTTTCTCAATGTGTATTTTTCATTAGTGATTTGAGGACATTATTCTTTCTATTAAATAGGCACTTAGTATCTAAGTTCTTTTTCATTGTTTATATTTTCAGAACCCACCCTGAAACATATACTCAGAAATAGTATTTATCAGCTACTCAAGGGTCTGTTATGGAATTTACCCAGTTAAGTTGGCACTCAAAGTTAACCATCACCTAAGGGAATGTCATAAATAACTTTTTCTGACAATTTTGTAATTTAAGTAAAAAAGGAAAATTCCTTTAGAGAATACAGATTACCAAATTGACTCAAGAATTATAAAATATGAATTATACTCAGAAAACTTTTAAAATTGAACTTAGTTTGAAAATTTTCCAAATGAAAGTCCCAGTAAGATGGCTTTACTTGTAAAATTTACTAAAGAGGGAAGAAAACTAACAGCATTTCTTCCAAAATTACTTGAGAAACTCAGGAATGAAGCATTTCTGAACTCAGTGATATCCATATCACTGTGACACGAGAGCCAAACACAAGCATCACAAGGGAAAACCAGGATCAAAGCAGCAAGTTATGGACCATTAGCACCGAGAACAGGAGCTGAAGCAGTGACTAAGTGAGCTGAGGAGCAACTGTTCATGGTGACTGCAAGTGACAAGAGCGAAAAGGGCAAAAGGGGGAAAAAGGGAAAGCACGCCTCCTTCCTTCCCTTATATTGTATGTTGTCTACCTACCACTGAGTGGTGGCAGCACTCACACCACCAATCCCAGTGCTAGACAATGAACCAATCACCAAGCAGCTACCTCCATGACTGCATGAGGCTTTGGGTGAACATCCGAACACAAACTATAACATTCTACTCCTGGCTGCCAAAAAACTCACGCACATCCTTTATGCAAAAGACATTTAGTCCATCTCCAAAAATTGCCAAAATCTTAACAGTCTCAACATTGCTGAAAAGTACAAGTCCCAAGTCTCCAAGATCTAAGGCAATCTTTTAGCTGTGAACTCCTGCACAAATGAAGTTAGTTAAACACTTCCAATATTCAATGGCACAAGATAGAAATTACCACTCCAAAAGGTATAAATGGGGAGATACAAAGGTTTGGGACCAAAGCAAGTCCCAAATCAAGCAAATGTTAAGGACCATAGCCATTGAAATATCCAAAGAAATCTAGCTGTGAGCTCCAAAAGGCTTTAGTGACTCCACTACTATGGCACCGCTAGTGGTTGTATCTCTCACAGCATCTCCTTAGCTAGCTTTGCTCCCTCCTTGAAGCTTTCTTAAATGATCTATGCTCCTGACTTTTCCAAACTTCTAGGTTCTTCATTGTACCTTTGCCTTCACACACAGAGATTCACACACTGCCCACTTAGGAACACACTGCTTAACTTCCCATGCCTTCTGAGATTGAGGTGGAAGCCTCTTTAACCTCAGAACTAGTGCAATTGCATATGCTTAAAACCAGCACACTGTGAATGCTGCCAAGGTCCACTGCCAGCTGGAGCAGTAGCCAGACTTCTCTTTCTTGGCTGTAGTGGTTGAATGCCTGGATGGCTGGGCACTCTGAACCTGATTCTGAAGAACAAATTCTCTGTGTCACTGCCATTTTGAAACCCAGCTTGATGCTGCCATTTTGGAGCCTCATATGCTCACTGACACCATTCTGTGAAACAGTGAGGTTGACATTATCCTTGAACATGGTGCTCTGCAGCTTTCTCCTCAAAGCCATCTTTCACTTTTATAGTTTTGAGACTGCAAATAGTGGAGACACACCACTTCTGAGGTGCCCTCAGGCCATCTTTTCTACTCTTCTGTTCCTTCTCAGCAATTAGCATCACAGCTTCACTGGAGCTTTTTTCCTGGCCAAACTCAATATTTTACATCACCCATATGGGCTCTTTGCTCTTGATTTGCAACATAAATCTGGCTAAAAAGCCCACAACAAGAGCCATACCATAACCTCAACATTTGACTGCCTTGAAATTTCATCTGCCAGAATAATTAGTTTACTGTCCTTAATCTCAGTCTCAGGCAGTCTCTGGACATAAGAAAACTTCTCCCAAGCATCACACACATCATCTGGAGTCCAACAATGCAGTCCTTCCTAGTAGAAACCTTCCAAGTGTGATCTGTACCTACAGGATTTCTATTAGCCTTCTTGTCTTCTGAGCTCTGACCAGAATCTCCCATGCAGAACAGCCTAAGGCATTTCAGTTCTACACTTTAAGGAGACTTCTTCAAACCTTTCTAAACTCTTCCCACAAACCATTCTCAAAGGCTTTTGAACCATATGGTCATGTATAGTTACCCCAATGACCTCACTCCAGTGGTACCAAATTCTGTCTTGTTTAATTTTTTCTCTTTGCTGGAACAAAATACCAACACCCAAAGTTAGGGAAGAAAAGATTTATTTAGCTCAGTTTGTGGAGGCTTCAGTCCACAATCAGCAGACTCCAAGACAGAGTGGCATATGGCAGAAGGCAACAGTTCACAGCAGCAGAAAACAGCATGAGCAACAAGAGAAAAAGGGGAGGAGAACATAGAGAAGACCCTTTCTGTGTCTTATGTTGTACATATGTGACACCCACTGGGGTGTAGCACGCACACCCATAATCTCCACATTGGACCAGAGTTGTTCCTTCCCTTGGACTTTTCCCATTTTTTTTTTTTTTTGGCCTCTTCACAATCAGAAATCAAGTCACCTTTTCCTCTGTCATTCCACCTTTTCTCCAGCACATTTCATGCATCCTACACATTTTAAAGTTTATTTATTTACATATATATCTTATTTTCAAGAAATAAGCTACTTAATGCAGGAATCAAAAAATTAATACGTTAGGTCATATATTCTAGACCAGGCACTAGACACAAAGAAGACATACATATGTTCCTTAAATTGATGCTTAAAGGAATGAATTTGAAGGGTTCAAAATTGTTAATCATGGAAGAAATTTGATATTGCATTTTTTCTGCTATACAGTTATAAAAATAGGTGCATATATTTTGAAAATAATTTTTCATTGACTCTAATGAAAGCACAAATTTATTTTGGTTAAGGTAACCATACACCATTTGTAGAGTTCTCTAATAACTTTCCTGGATTTAATCTTAGATTTAACTTTCTTTTTCTAAATGGGCAAGGAAAGACACTGGATAGATTCTGGAACAGAGAAAAAGTTTAACAAAAAGAGTTAACAATATAAAAATAAGTTACAGAAATTGCTTTTTTGATTAAAAAAACCTTTTAAATCATTATATTCTGGACAACTTATTTTGAGTTATTAAAGTATCTACTTTGAAAGAGGTAGGGTTCAATGAGAAAGTATATGTATCAAAAGGCAAGCATAAAATAAAAAAGAAATTCATGTTCCCTGCTTTAATTATGGCCCAATGCATAATAGCTTCCTTATCATTTTTCATGTCCAGACTCTCCTCATCCAGCCTATTTGTCTTCCTATTGCAGTTATGACGATGTTTCTCCAATACTCAAAAACCCTAAAAAAAAAAAAAAAAGAAAACACAAAACAGAGCTCCACTTCCTCGACTCTATCTAAACATCTTTCAAAATGTGACCCTTTTATTACGTGACCTCAATACATATTTTTCACAAGATTTCTTATCTTAACCCATTTTTGTAACTATAATAAAAAACCTGCTACTGAGTACTCTATTAACTAAAGTGGTTTATTTAAGTCATGGTTTTAGAGGCTGACAGTCCAAGATCAGGGTGCCCCACATGTATGGTCTTCGATGAGGCCCCTCTTGAGTATACCACAGTGTAATGGAGAAGTAGAAAAAGAATCAGTTGCAGACGCCAAGTGGTCTTGCTTTGTACTAACCTGCTCTGGTCTCACAGAGTTAACCTGCTATCAGTCCCATGAGACAAACTGATTCTCTTCCATGAGTGTAGCGCCTTCATGGTCCAAACACTTCTAACTGGGGCTTAAATCATAAAAGTTTTATTGTCTTCTAATACTGCCTCATTAGGACCATGTTTCTATTACATGGAGCTTTGAGAGACACAAACTATATTCAAACCATAGCAGCTTCTATGCACACAGAGCACAGGAGCCAAACTGAGCTAGTCATCTATTCTTTAGTCATGCCCAGTGATTCCTTCCTATATACCCTGCTTAACTTACTCTCTCCCCTTGCAATGTGTAGTCCTCCTGCAACATTTCATTGCCTGTTTCTGAAAGCTTACCAGGAGTTATCTCACAATGGCCGTCAAGTTCTTCTTTAGTCTGATTTCTTCTTTGACTTTCCTCTACTGTGACCAAACCTACATCTTCCTTCTGGTTAAAGGTCCTAGGTGATATCATAGTTGATTATGTGTTTGTCTTTTTCCTGCCAGTCTACCCTTCACTGGTTTTGTATGATCTCAGCCTGTTTTCCACTTATCTTTATTTACTGTAGGCAACTACATGGCAACTTTCTACATAATGTTCTCCCACTCATATTTCTTGACTTGGAAGTTATCTAAGTACAAGAAGCACTGTGAAGTCACAATTGTTTATCTGCTCTGCAGCCCAAACCTAGGTGTCCTCAAATGTTCACTTGAGAAAGCCTATCACAGGTATTGTAAGAAAACGACACCTTGTTTTTATCCTCCCTTGAGACCCTGACAAAATAGAAAATAAAATAAAACAATCCCTTTGAAGAGTATCAGACTCGGGAAAGGAGACAGTGTGAGCACTGTCATTTAGTTAATATAGGCTTATCTTGGGAAATAAATTGTCTAGTTCAGTTTTCTTTAAGTTTTCTACTACTGAACATTAGTGACTTTAAAAAACATTATGTTAAATCCAGATGAAGGAAGGCATTGACTCAGTTGTGCCAAATAGTATAGAAATCCACAAGCAGAAAACACATTATCCCAGATAGAAAATTGGGTTCACCTATCATGCAATGTTTTTCTAAGGACAGAGACATTCAATCACATGTTTGATAGCTTTTAAATATCACTGTGTCACCAGGTCACTGTCTCTGCCATCTCATTTAGACGTGTGTCCCATATGTCAGGAAACCAACACAATTGCAGCAACTTAAAACTTCCAGAGAGGCAAGAAGAGTGCATAGATTCCAAACAGAGCGGGTCAGGGTTGTAGTGGGAGTTTATGAAATGTCAACTTACAGATAGTATTTGAATATTCAAGTGTCTTAATCAGGATAAATTAAGCACATACTTTATAATTCTGCTACTTTCATTCCTCTTAAAGCAGTTAAATTATATAGATTTAATCATCTTCACTTTTTAAAAGGGGGAAAATTGCAATTCAAAGTGCTTCATACAGAATTCACAAAACTTCAAAGGCCAGTGTTTCAAGAAATCTGATGTTAAGCGCATTTTTAAAATTATTGATTCTGTCCATAATACCTTATGGGAAAACCTATAGATCTACATGCTAGTTCAGAGAATTTTTTTTAAAAAATACTTTTTTCCTACTCTGCTATTTATTTATATTTCATAAATATTTGGATGTAACTGTACATCTGTATGTGAATATTAAAAATAGTTTTGTTTTAAGATACAATATAGTTTATGAGTCATGCATATAAAATACTATTCTTAGGAAAGCTTCTTTATAACATGGCTATTTCCTGCCTTAGAGGAGAACATAATAAAACAGTAAGGTCAGTTTTAAATTGTGCGTAGAACCAGTAATTGTGTCTTTAAGGCAATTAAAAGATTTATTGAATCTTGGTTAAAAGTAGATTGACAATGACATTAAAGAATAAAGTGAAATTTATTTGGTGCTACTTTGTAAATGCCTCTAAGTACAAATCGTTTCACAATACCATATACAATATACTTTCAGTCACAATTTAAACATAAAATAACTTGCAAAACCACATAACTATCATCAATATACAATAACTACATTTTAAAAAGAAAGAAATCTAGCCAATTAGTTAAGTTAAGGTGCAGTAACTTTTTCCAAATAAAATATTAGCACCATACCAGATAAAATTATCTAAAACTATTGACCTTCTGGTTCTTCTTCAATAACTAAATATAAACACTTTTTTTTCAGAGCACAAATATTAATTTGCAAAATCAGTTCTATAGTCATTAATATGTATTTCTTTCCTTGGTTTATTATTATTATTTTTTGCATGTTTTCCTTGGAAGGGAAAAATACTAAGTAAAAATGTTCACAGGATATGAAAATTAAACAGATCTGATCAAACCCAGTACTGCTTTTCAGCAGTGAGTTCCAACTGAAGCAAAAGTGGACATCTCCCGGCGTATGGTACTGAACGGAGAGAGCTCCAGCTCTGTGGTGTATTCGTTGTCATTGTCATCACTGGTCACTGTGGAAGACTTCTGAATGCATTCGTCACAGCAACAGCAGCAGCACTCCATAAAGGCCCGGCTGAAGGGTTTGCAGAGGCAGAAAAGCAGCACAGGCGTGACACAGGACTTAAAGAACAAAAGGAACTGGCTGATGATGTTCAGTAGGTCCATTGTCTGTTGTGAAACTCCAGTGGCCATATAGGCAGTGACAATGTTGCAAATATTTTCAGGAATAATGCAGAATCCATATAGAATGGTCAGGGCTACTACTGTGCAGTTCATCTGGCTTTCTAGTTGGATCTGCCGCTTGTTCCCACGGGTGCTGGCTTTCTCTGCTTTGCGGATTTTCCTTGCAGTCACCAAAGAGCAGGTGATGGTGAAAAGTGTGGGTAAGCAAAAATAACAGCCAAAATACCACCACAGCCTTGCACTGTCATAGGTAAGGGCTAAAACGTATATAGTATCTGGTAAATTGGGTGAGATCTTTATGACACATCGTTCTGCAGGAGCTCGGCCACCAAACCCCAAATCCTCCTTGCTTAGCTGGCGGAGAACAACTTCCGGAAGTGCCAGCAGTAAAGCGCCAACCCATATGACAGCGAGTTTGGCTGTTGTGGAAGAGCAGTTTTCGATCATTTCGTAGTACATCTGTACATTGGTGGCAGCGCGGAAGCGGTCTATACACAGAGCACATAAGGTGAATGTAGTGACTCCCAGAGAAGCGACCTGTTGGGGACAGAGAACACATTCATCTGGATGCTTCTTTAAGATTAACACAGTAGAGCTGAGGGAGAGAGCCGGGAGGGAGCCAGAAACAGAGACAGAGAGAGACAGAGAGACATTTCCAGGAATGAGGCATGGATAATACATAGCTGAATCATTGTGAAAATGAAAATAGAAGAAAGAAAAAAGTTTAGCAATCCACAGCTGGTGTTATGAAAAATAAAAAGAATTGAGAGCTAGAAGCATCTATAAAGGTCACCTGGTCTAATACCATTTTATTACAGATAAGAACTCAGAGACTCTAAGAATTTCAATCACCGTGACAATGCCTATAACCAGGAGATCTAGCAAATATCTAAGGGTGTGGAAGTTATGTTCCATTTTTGTTACTGAAAAGGATGCTTGCCAGCATGGAGATTAGTAATATCCCTTACTTCACATTTGGGAAGCACCCAGGACCTTACTGTCCTCAGCAAGCTAGAAGGTTAGAGATGCTGCCCAATTTCACTTAAATGCAAAATAATGTATAGTATTTTAATATTATTTTCAAAGGCATAAATTCATGAGGAAAACAATGCAATTTAACAGAGGCCAAAATCAGTAAAAAGTTCCAATCAGAACCGAATCCCACCCATCTTTCCCTCATCTCGTCTTCCACTGCGCATTTGTCCTGGGGGCAGCTGTCTGTCTTCCTGAGGATTTGCAGTTAGTTTTAGATAGAAGGGTGGGATCATGTGTCCAGACCCCAAAGACAAGACAGAAACTTGGGGTCAATGTGTGTATTAAGGTGGAGACCTGGTTTGGATTTGGAATTCTCCCAATAACTGACATCTTTAGCAAGTAAAGAACATTTTAAAAAGAAAGACACAAGGGAGAAACTTAGTAGACTCTGCCTGCTAGAAGTTAGAGGTTGGGGAGGAGGTTTGGCATATTCTAAGTAAAAACCTGAGTTTACATGGTATTTAAGGCCAAAAATCACACCATCTACATCCTTCAGATAAAAACCCAACTGGAATTTAAAATCATCCCAGGTACCTAGGAGAGGCAAACATGAACGTACTTTATATCCAAGCCTCAGAGAAATCTCATAAAGTTCAAGGGAACCTGAATTCATAAAATCAAAAATCTATTTATCCAAGAGATAATCAGCCACTTTGGGCCAAAGTGTGCCAAAATAAACAAGTTACAGACATCAAATAAGCACATTCATTATAAAATAAACATGTTTACCAAATAAAAATAAATATGAAATACTGAAGAGTTTTAAAAGTACATATAAAAAAACATGAAAATAGAAAGATACAAAATACAATGACTATATGATCATAACCACAGGAAAATGTTGACTCCCAAAACACTTTGACACTGATTAGACAAAACACTGTATCCAGAGATCATTCCTTACATATGTGTATGCTCTAGATATCTAAATGAATCAGTAATTGAAGGTTAAGAGGCAAATATATGTTGCTGTTTCTTTCACACAGAAGTTTTTTCAGGAATATAAGTGCATGTTCCTAAAGGAAACATATTATCCATTTACATGCAAAATATTGAGCATGGTAGCTACATCCTAATGTGACATATAGATCAGCACGTGACTCAAGCATTTATCTGCAAGATAACAACTCTATGCCAAGTGCTGTGCTTGATACTGGGGATACAGTTGGGTACAAGGTATAGACTCTTTCCTCAGAAAGTCACACTCTTCCAACAAGAGGAAGGCTGATCTGGTCACAAGAGAAACACAGCAGTCACATGGGAGCATCAGATGGACTCAAATATTTTGAGACAAATTTAAATAATATTAGTGTTTAATAAATGTATTCATTGTTTATGTACTTAAACAAAGACAATAGATAGGAGGCAAAAATGTTAAAGAGCTTTCAGATAAAACATGATCCTAAAAGAAAAATCCTTAACTGAAGATAATCCTTTAAGGTATGACCAAGAAACCAGAGTACATCATTCACTCTCCCTCTGCCTGGTGGTAGGAGTATCTGAGGAGTATTCCAGTGGTGCCGTCTATGACATGAATGCTGCAGCCTACTATTTGTGATTACTGAAAGCTCTAAAAGGCTCCCATGGTAGCTCATGCCTTGACAAAAGTCAAGGAAAAAAATGAATATAATGTTAGTATCTAATTTTCTAGGATTTCATGGGATCATGTTAACAAAAGGAATACCAACTGCCTTCCAATTTTAGTGCTGAAAACATTTGCTGTTTATCTACTGCATCCAAGCTGTCACTGTCCCCAGAACTATGGCAACTTGCCTTGTGGATTCTAAGATTTGTAAGGTCAAATATCATGCTTCTTCTTATACCTATATCACACTATATCTACTAATTCTAATATAAAAAACATGGACATTATATCTATGGAATAGATAGATTCCATTACCATTCCAGTCTACCATTAATGTAGCCTGTTGCAAAATGAGATATACGAACTCAAAAAAACAAACAAACAAACAAACAAAAACGAATAAAAATATAAAAGTTCTGGATCAGCACAGATAAGGAGCTTACCACTGGGCTTTAACCACAATTCCTGTTCTTGAAGAACTATTTTTTCAGGAAATATTCCATAAACACCAATATAAGAGAAAAAAGTAAAAGCCATTTCTACATTTGCCTTTTGAAAATTAATGTTTCAAATTAATGAGATGCTCATCTTAATGGAAAATTTTGCTTCATTCCTATACTGAGACCCAAAACAATTCTAAAGTTGAGCTCCACTTTGTACAATTGTCTTCTGGTCATATATTTCTAATGTCAATAATTGCTATATTGGAGAAATCTGAGAAGGGTCCGCCATTCATTCCCAAAGTCTACATCAAAAAGTGCCATGTGGAAATTGCAGTAGTTTATTTTACACTTGTTTTGTGTGCTAAAGAGAAATCTCAGTGGTCCTCTGCCAATGAGCTACAACCCCAGGCCTTTTTACTTTTTATTTGGAGACAGTTTTCCTAAATTTTGAGGCAGTATATGTTTGTTATCTGTATTTAAGTTTTTCAAATGTTTTGATTCATTTCTCTCAAGAATGTAACAAAAAGTTTTTGAATTAGTAAATGTATGCAAATCTTCAGCTTCTTTCTATATAGTTTTTGTTAAGACAAAGCTGTGTGTGCTTTTTTGTGTCACTATATATCATGAAGCAAACTACAAATATGAAGTTACTAAGGTTTTAGGTTTCACATTCTTCTTAAATTAAGAGTAGCATTTCTATTAAAATGAAAGCTCAGTAACAAAATCCTGGAGCCTCCAAGAACAGGCAGTCTATTAGAGGCTCAGAAGATACATTGTTGGCATTTTTCTATCATCATTTACAAAGAACATGCAACACTTAAAGAATATAGCATCTTCTCTACTAATATCCTTAATTATAATTATAGAGATTTTCAAAATTCTGGGCCAATTATCATTAATGGCAGCATTTACATCCCTACCTCAAAGTCACTTACAGAGCATTTTGTGAGAGCAAATGGATGTGGGTGGATATGTATTAAGATGGTTTTGTTAGATTGCTAGCTCCTGAGCTCTCCAAAGCCGTCCTGCATACCCAGTCTTCATTAGAAGATGCTCCCTGCTTTGAAAAGCAAAACATTTTACAGGTTCCTTATATTCCCTCCATCTCACAGGAAAACAAAAGCTAGGACAAATTTTAAGCAAGTTATGTTACGACTTTTCACTGAGAAGCTTTTATACAAATTTTATTTGAAAATTCTCAGTTCTTCAGACACAGTCCCAAAACCTTTAATAATGAGTTATAATCTCTAATATATTTGATCTGCAGTCTCCTTGACAAATAATGGAAAAGGGGAGGACGGGATGCCTTCCCTGTTTGCATACACCAAATTCAACAAGCTTTTGCTCTCCAGTTGTTTACTATGATAGCCTTCTCTGCAGTTAGGATCTAGCTAAAACAGGATGAGCAGTCCAGAAAGGTCACAAGAACAGCAGAGATAAATGCTGAAGGAGTCAATAAGGAAAGCAGAGCTATCCCCAAAACAGATAGTGCTTGTCACCCAGATGCCAAGTCTTGTCATCAGTTCTGTCCTGTTGCCACTGCCTGCAGTACTACTTCAGATATTTTCTGTAAATGTACATATATGTCAAACTTTATACTGTGAAGGAGCAAAAAATGTGCAAAGGCTTTCGCACTACTTTCCCAGATTATTTTATGTCTTTAACATGTGTGATGTTTTAAATACATACCTCAGAAATTATTGATAAAATCTGTCTGCATAGAGATGCTTGCCTAGTTTCTGTTTACCTAAATATAAAACCTGCCCATGTAATTAACATTCTAAATGTTGGAGTAACATGAAAAGACTTCATCACAATATTTAAATATATTTGTTTATGTAAAGTGTATTAAAATTCTATCAAGAAGAATAGTGTGATTATATGCAATTATAAAACTGTATCATGAATGTTGGATCTTTTGCATTTAATGACCATATCTGATTGCTAAAATTCGATATCACTGAGAAATATGCTCTTGGGAGGAAAGCTATTAAGCTTTGGCTTAGATGGGTAGTTCTTTGAAGCAACATCCTGAGGTAGAATGAGCAAGATGCAATCACTTATGAATTAAATTGCAATGGGAGGCATAATTAACATCAATAAAAGCAGAACTGTAAACATTTTTAATAGCATGACTATTAATTCTGAAAATCTCAAGATGAGAAAAAAGTTAGAAGCAGATAATGTTAACCATTGGAGAAAAATATTGAGCATTTTGAGGGGACTGGCATCAAAATTCAGAAATGACGAAGGGAATCAAAGTAAACAACTTTAAGCTCTATCTTGCAAGCAACAATGTTCTGCTGTCCTTTGTATTCCAGAGTAAGAACAATGCAGTTCCTTCAGTTCCTGCTCAGTCAACATCCAGAGCAGTAATGTAACAATTCAGGCAGCTGCAACCACCTACAGCACAGTGCTGCTCCAAGGTACAGGCGGGACACAGTGAAGACAGAAGCCTGAGAATGTGCAGAAGC